AGCTTATTCACATGCGGTACCTTTTAAATGAAAGGGGAATTATAGATGTGTATGTTGAGCATGTCTGTGATGAGCCAGATATTTTAGATTTGCTTGAAGGTGGCACTGTTATGCAAGAACCAGTTGATGAAGGTACAATGGACATTGGGGAAGGATGTGTGACACAAAATTCACAACCAGCCCCAAATTTTCATGAAGCTCCAGAAACAGCAGCTGAAGGTAATGCTGATGAAACAAATGCACTGCATGGAGGTGGTGCAGCCCAACAAGAAGATCTACAGAACAATGATCATGATGATGAGGAGTTGCTTGATATTGTGCATAATGATGCAGATGATGAGGATAGTGGGGAAGGCTGTGTGACACAAAATTCACAACCAGTCCTAAATTTTCATGAAGCTCCAGAAACAGCAGCTGAAGGTGATGCTGATGAAACAGATGCACTGCATGGAGGTGATGCAGCCCAACAAGAAGATCATGATGATGAGGATTTGCTTGATATTGTGCCTAGTGATGCAGATGATGAGGAGGTGCTTGAATCTATTCGCAATAAAAAGAAACATAAAGCCAATGCAAGTGCAAGAAAAAATGCAGATGGTGCTAGCCCAAGCGGCACAGTCCATGACTCCCTTACCACAGTTAATGAAGAGGGTGAAAGGGTTCCTATAGGAACTGATGACCATGGAGATTGGGGTTCTGATTCTAGCTTTGAAAATAGTGAAGATGAATTTGAGGTTTCTAGTGATGATTCAAGTGAGTACAATGTTACAGATGAACATGAACTTGTAGAAGAAGAAGAAGATGTAAGGAGTACTAGAAGTAGTGATTTATGGTTTAATCCTTCATGGACTACTGTTTGGTTTGAGGTAGGGATGAGGTTTGAGCATGTAGCACAGTTTAAGGAGGCTATAGCTAAATACCAAATTCAAAAAGGCTGTAAGTTGAAACCTGTTAAAAGTGACCCCACCAGGCAGAGAATTCATTGTGTTGGTCAACAGTGCAATTGGAGTATCTTTGCTAGTTTTGATAAAAATGACAAGACTTTTAAGGTGAAGACATATTGCAGGGAACAGACTTGCTTTAGGAGTTTGAAGTCCAATATGGTTGGGTCGAGGGTACTTTCAGAACACCATAGGAACAGAATTATAGCAAATCCGCAGATCAGAATTAGTGAGCTAGTGAGATTGTCTCATTTAAAATTAGGGGTTCATGTTTCAAGGGATACGTGTAAACTAGCAAAGGAAAAGATTATGAAGAAGGTGAAGGAAACTCACACGAAGGAATTTGCTCAGTTAAGAGGGTATGCAGAAGGGCTGTTGAGATTGTCCCCTCAGTCAAATGTTCAAATTGACAGTGAGCCACCCACGACTCCAGTGGGAAAACCTATGTTTAAAGGAATCTATGTGTGTCTAGAAGGATGTAGGAAGGGTTTTCTACTGGGCTGTAGACCAGTAATTGGAATAGCTGCTTGTTTCCTCAAGGGGATGTTCAAAGGAACTATTTTGGCAACTGTTGCAAGGGATGGGAACAATCAAATGTTCCCAATAGCTTGGGCTGTTGTTGACTCAGAGTCTACCAGCTCATGGACATTTTTTTTTTTTTAGATGTCTAGCTGATGACCTATCAAATCACACTGGGCGAGATTTAACGTTCATTTCGGACCAACATCCTATAAGTGTGTACAATTTATTATGAATTAATTTATATTATCAATATCTTTATGTTACTATACTCATCAATGCTATTTATTGTATAATTTAATTGACTTTATTATCAATCATTAACCTTATTTGTTTTCATTAAACACAATTTGGTAGGGGTTGATTAATGCAAGACAAATAGTTTTCCCCGAGGCTACGCATAGATTGTGTGCCAGGCATTTATATGCTAATTGGCAAAAAAATTTCAGAGGGAAACTATTGAAGAAAAGATTCTGGATTGCTGCAAGGTCAACATATGAAGGTCAATTCAACAAAAACATGGAGGAGATCAGAAATTTATCTGTGGAAGGTCGTGATGCCTTAAAATCAATCCCACCAGAGCTGTGGTGCAAGGCATTCTTTGACATGTCATGTAAATGTGATGTCGTGGATAACAACATGAATGAGACCTTCAACAATTGGATAATGGATGCTAGGTATATGCCGATCATCCAACTGTTAGAATATATAAGGGTTAAGGTGATGGTTAGGATGGCTAAGAACAGAGAAGAAATCAGCAAATGGAGAGGAGATATAGCACCCAAAATTAGGAAGAAATTAGAAGCACATAAGATTGAAGCTGCCAAATGCAGATGTGAATGGAATGGCAGGACCCACTATGATGTTTGGCATTGGAATGACAAATTTGTTGTGGATTTGATTGGGAAAAACTGTAGTTGTAGAGCATGGGATTTAACAGGAATTCCATGTCCTCATGCATTGTCTGCGATAGGTTTAGGTAACTTCGACCCGGATGAATTTGTATCAATTTGGTACAAAAGGGTTAAGTATGAACGTGCATACAATGTACCAATCATGCCTTGTAATGGTGAGAAATTCTGGGAAAATT